TCCACCCCGTTGATCTCCCGCTCGGCCAGCTGCTGCTCCCGGCGCTTCAGCAGCTCCTCCTGAGATTTCTGCTGGAGCGCCGCTCGTGTCAGCTCCTCCTCTCTGGAACGTAGTTCCTGGAAGACATTGGGAATTGATGAGAATTGATGTTCCGTACCGTACCTGGATTGTACAGTAGGTGGCAGGAGCCTTGACTTTCCTCCTGCAGCTGGTTTAACAGTATGGTGGGTGTCAACAGTTACAGAGAAGGAGAAACTTATTATTATTAAATAGAAGATTGACTTAAAACAGAAAGAACACGTGGAGACATGTTTCCGAGATTATTATGGTCTGTGATAAACTGTGACGCGTGGGAAAATAACTCCAGCTCCTCTGCTGCCACGTCTACTTCTTTGTTTCTTTTTCCTTTTCTGCTCGTAGCTGAGGAATAACAACAATCCAGGCTGGACGACTTCCATGCAGCCACCCACCTCCACACAGATTAGAGTGGGACGAGAACACAACATCTGCTGCTGATGAGCTGAGAAAATCTGCCAGTAATCTGCACTTTTATTCTCCTAGTAAACCAAGATTCTGTATAAAAAAAATTTATATCATGATTTTATCACAGGAGGATTTTCTACCATCAGGCGTCTGTGTTTGATTTATATCATGATTTTATCACAGGAGGCTTTTCTACCGTCAGGCGACTCAGTCTGTGTTTGTTTTTTTTTGTTTTTAATTATGAACGTAGTGTTCGCAGTGAAACCAGAGGTGATGCTCCTCCACCAACAGGGACGGGGTTGGACCCAGGTCCATGTGCTGATCCTGCTGTGCAGCAAAGTGCTCATTAACCTGTCGTTGTAAAGCATCCACAGGGAATTATACAGGAAGCAGATTAAAGTTCTAACAAAGGAAGGAGGGGGGAGACGGGGGAGGGGGGTGTGTGTGTGTGCACTGAGGCAGAGTGGGAATTAACCGCTGGTCTGTTAAATGTACAATTAACTTGTACAATAACCAGCTAATAAAAGCTGGTCCCATGGGAACAACGTAATGAGTATTAATATTAATAACACACGTGTTTACGAGTGTTTTTAGACGACACCTGAGAGAGAAGGTCGTGGTCAGAGGAGGATCGAAGTCTGGTTTTATACAGGAAACTAGGAGGGTGTGTTGGCAAGAATCCGGTGAAGTATCATAATACGATATATCGTGATGTAGTGCGATACTATTTTTATCATTAGAGAAGAAATAAAAGAAAAAGAAAATGAACCAACATCATGAATATTTGACTGGTAATTGGTGATAAAGAAATCCAAACAGTGATCAGTAGATCTTTGATCCGGCATCAGGAAACTAAATACCTCGATATTTCAGCGTCAGTGATGCCGTGCTGCTGACGTACCTTCTCTTTGGTCCTGAGCTCATCAAACATCTCCTGGATCTCCACACGCCAGTCGTCCTGCATGCTGTGGAAGGACTCCTGGGGCATGGTGGCCATCACCGCCTCCTCGATGGCTGACAGCTGCTCCAGGATGCAGGCAAATGAGGGTCGAACGTGAGGGTCCTGGTCCCAACACTCTGGACAAACGTAAAGTGACAACAGTGTGAATTCACTGCATCTCTGCCTGTGTGTGTTTTTGTGTAGAGACTTGAAGGAAAATATTTTTTTTAAATATTTTTAGATTCTTGTTCATTTTGGATTTAATATCATTTTCATCTTCACCTTCTTCACATGTGTGTTATATTTTGAAACAGTGTATTTTTAGAAAACAGAATTTCTCTCTTAATTTTAAACCTAAACACCTATTTAGATTAATGTTAACATTGAGAAATGTGTGAAAAAAATCCAGATAAAATGGGATTTTTATTTCACCTTCCATGAGCTTGGCAAAGGGTTCTGGGCAGGTGGAAGGAATGGGGAGAGTTAACTTGTTGACTGCCACGCCGTAGGCCACGGCCAGGCCGTCGATCCCTCGGTACGGAACCTCCCCTGTGAGGAGCTCCCACAGCAGCACACCGTAGCTGGTGGATGACACGCAAACAAAGAGGTGAGGAGAAAGTTACGGAAAAGGAAGGGAAGAGAGAATGGAGGTAAAAAAAAAAAAAAAGATGTCTTCCTCTGGAGCGTGGGCGTGTTATTGTCATACCTCCAGACGTCACTGCCTTTTGAGAACAGGGAAGACTTGATGACCTCGGGGGCCATCCAGGAGTAGGTGCCTGCCGCTGACATCTTTGTGGTCTTGTGCCACTCCCTGGCCAGGCCAAAGTCTGTGATCTTCAAGGTCTTCCTCCCGATGTCGTCATTCTCGATCTTTTCAAGTAATAAAACTGCAAAGAGAGGCGACAGGTTAGGGAGAGCTTGAGTCACTAAAGAACAGGATGTGAGGCGAAGGAGGAAATAAACATCTGTGTGGGCACGAGGACAATAAGTGATGAGTGACAGAATCAAAAGGAACAGTGGAAATACTGCACGGGGGATGAAAAGGCCAGATATGAGGGGGAAGGAGGTGAAAAAGAGGAACAGTGAAAGAGAAAGGAGAGACGTAAAGAGCAGTGGACATCCGTGCATGTGAGAAATGATAGGTGATATTCAACAGGGCCAACAGCAGTATTCAGGTCATTTATTACTGCACAAACACAAGGCTGACAGAGCAACAAAGCAACTGTCCTCAGGTCCTGAAGTGTTCAACACATTAAAGAACAGCAGAACCCTCCAACACCGTGCAACACTACACCTGTCCTGAGAGCCTCAGCCACGGAGACAACGCAACCGGCCGAGAAACTGTCGGACGACTGTTGACCAGAACCACGTCACGTCATGAACAACCTGACGTGGCTTTGGTCAACAGTTTCTGCGACAAAGTATGAATAAGAACAGATGGAATAATTAGCACGTCACTTCACATATAGTTGGAAAAAAATTAAAAAATGAGAACTTGAATTAGAAAAAATCTACATAAATCTATAAATATATATATACGTTTTATTACTTTTGAAAAAACTACATAAATCTATAAATATATATATACATTTTATAACTTTTGAAAAAATATTATTATTACTATTTGAAATCAACTGCTCAAATGTTGAATCTGAGATTGTAAAACAAATTAAACCATGAACCTTTAGAACATATACAAATAATTTAAAGACCATTTCTGACATGATCTGTATCAGTTTCAGATCTCCATATAGTCTGTTCATTCATTCATTCATTCATTCATTCATTCATTCGTTGACTCTTCACTCTCCACCTCTCACTGACAAATTAAAGAGTCAGTGTGAAACACTAATGGAATAGATGAAAAATGTGAAGATTCAACCAAGAACTTATTTTAATCAGCAACACAACAAAGAGTCGACAACAGGACAGAGACCGGGGTGGGTCGGGGCTGGAGGGGTCAGGTGGGTCGGGGGGCTGTTACCCAACAGTTATCTTCAGACCAGTACACTTGGAGGCCGTGTCGTCCTGTGTGAGCAGCAGCAGCCGTCTGCTCCAAAGTGCTGTATCAAAAGCCCAAACTGAGTCTTTGATGCTTTCATGTTCTCAGTATTACTTTCAACATTTGCTTTTGCCTCTGCCAAGACCTTCTCACATTACAAACTGTCCCATTTTACTATTTACACGCAACCCTGGCCTCTGCTGTTCTGGGAAACGTTTCCACAGATTTGTTGATTATTTACTTAGCAGATGAACGTCCACTTCATAACATACAACCATGATAATATTCCCATGGGAAGAAGGACCTCAGGACAGTGTTGACAAAGTCCAGTGGTCCATGTATGGGGGGGGGAGGGGGGCAATAAGTAGATCAGGATCTAGCAGTAGATCTCAAAGGGATTGTTGGTAGATCCTGAGCAATAACATTTAGAAAATAATAATTAAAATTATAGATGTAATTATGATGCTAATCACTTGGGCTAAAGTACAGCACAACTACAGCCATTTAATCAAAGTACCCCAACATATAATGCATATAATAAGATTTAGAGTAACTATATATTTAGAGTTTTCAGCGTAGTTAGATCACTTCACCCTGGTCATTAAAAAGTAGCTCCGAAGATTAGTCAGTAGTCAATGATGTGTTAACATAAGGCGATGTGTGTGTGTGTGTGTGTGTGTGTGTAATGTTATCACACAGTGACCTTGGATGTACTCCTCTTCAGCACTACTTCCAAGGTCACACCACCCACGGACCTTCGCCTTCATCTGGAACGAAGAACTGATTTTCTCATAAATCTGAGTGGGTGACTTGGCTCTAGTGTCTATTTCATATGTCTCATATAAGTTCCCTGAAGTACTCAGTACTCTGTGCAGTACTTCGACCGTAATGTGACTTCCATCAGCCTCCACTCACAACATGAGTATTGGTGCCATTACTTGCCCCCGGGCACAGAGGGGATCCTCTACCCACAAGACAACAATAGGAATTCCATTACAACAGGTTTCACGAGATCAGTGCTATACTCCTACTTCCTGTTGTCATGTCCTCTCTCAGTGATTCCATAGATTCCTCCCAGCAGGCTCTGGGGCTTCATTATATTACTGAAGAACAGTGGTTTAGGGATAAACCCCTTTTTTTTGGCCTATAGAATATCACGCCAAATATTTTCTTTGTAGCTCCATGGTACTTCAGTGTCAGCCCTCTAGAAATGTCTGATAATAGACTTGTCTTCATGACTCCATAACTGACGTTATACTCATTTTAACCTCTGCTGTTCTGTTTCACACAGACTGTGGGACAATAGAACTGATGACTGATCAATCAACCACTACTGTAGTGGACCACACATATGCTAAGAGCTTTTTTAACACGACAAGAATGGCTAATGCAACAATAAAGTTAGAAAGTCAATTAAAAACCATCAGTGTTTTCTACGAGGATTGTAATAATTGAACATTATTTTGACACGTTGCTCTCAGAAAGTACAACCTTAAATTGCCTTTTGTCCCAGATTCTTTGCGCCTGCACACTTTCAGCCTTTCTGAAGGCTTCAGATGTAGGTGTTTTTAAAGGTCAAGACAGTAAAGACAGTAGGAGGAGGAGAGGAGGAGCGGGAGGAGATGAGAGCAAGAAAATGAACTTTTCAAAATAATTTGTCTTTCAGAGTCTGATACTAAAAGATTAGATTATTATTATTATGAAAATGTACGAACGGGGCGACAATACCGGTACGTGGTACCAGCCAGTACCAGCTGACCGGACCGTTGAACAAAAAGGTTGAAATATCTCAGCTAACAAACGTCGGTCCCGTCACATCCTACACTCAGTTGCTGCTGTTCAGCCCTGACAACAGTACATCCTACACTCAGTTGCTGCTGTTCAACACTAACAGCCTGAATCAGGAGCACTCCGTTGTCACTGCTTCAGTCCTAGACATTTTCACACAGATCACATGATACGTTTATGTTCTGCCGCGAAACCGTGCTCAGTTTGCATCAGCTGGTGTAACAGAGCGATGGCAGGGGTTTTCCAATTCCTCAAACAGTAGAAAAATAATGCAGAGATCAGCTCTAATGTGACATGTGAGATTGGGACATCCCTGGTACAAACACTGCAGTATTGTGTTCTTTCAGAGACAAGTTATAGTTTCGTTTAAATAGGATATGTTGAGGAGAAAAAGGAGGAGAGGTAACCCAATCATTACAGTCGAATCTCATGACTCTAATCCAACACTAACAGGCCACACCAATGGACTGTAAGGACTGTACTTGGATGACGGCGGCCATTTGTCCGTTTCAGCAAATGTTTCTGCTAAAATGATGACAGCGTTCTGCTTTCATGGTTCTGCTGATGAGTAACACAAAAGTTTAAAAAAAAATCTCTTTGTGGTAAATTAAATATTTGAATGGCTCCATCAGCCCTGCCTCTGTTTCCTTTCAGACTGTAACAATATGTTTTAGTCATTGTTCATTATCATAATGCAGGCTGTTTGTCACGCACGGCTCCATGTTGTGTTTGGAGCTTGTGCTGCTTTTCTCAACTCTATATTTTCTTACTCTTTTGAAAAGAAAGTGTTTTGAAGTGTAGAACAGTGCCGTGCAACTGGAGATGGATACGTCCCCAGGCTACACCCCACCCTCGGTCCAACCCCCATTTAATTCCCCTTTCCAAAAGTGGATCTTCAGGCAGACCCATCTCTCACGGAGGAACAGTGGGAAGATCAGAAGTCGAGCTGCTGCCTTCAAAGCAGGTCCCACGCTTCTTCCCATTGCCTCCTGCCCCTCCAGGTAAAAAGGAACAAAACTACACTTTTGGGGGCAACATCCAGCACTTGTTCTGCCAACGTTCTATTTCTACAACAGAAATTCTGCAAAATATAAAAATATTACTGTACTGTGATACTGTCAGATGCTGGAAAAAACAATGGATTTCTACAACAGAAATTCTGCAAAATACAAAAATATTAAAGTATTTAAATCTCAAAAATGTATTTCTACATTTTACACTGTGAACCGTCAGATGCTGGAAAAAAAAAAGAAAAATTAAACTTAAACAGAATCTGAGTTATTTAGACAATTTTTATCAAACGAAAAAGACATTTGTTTCAGCAATACTCACAGCATCCAACCATTTAAAAAACAAAAAAGGGTAAAAACAGATTTTGTTTCAGTAGTGTTGGGGAAAAGTTATAAAGACTACAAAGCATTAGATTAAAAAAAAAAAGTTATTAAAGTTGGCCTCTATTTACACCGTTTTGGTGGTTTGAAGCACAACAAAGCCCTGCTGTAACAAGACCACAATAAAAGTTTTGAATGTGGCCTCCTAACTTGTCAGGCAGTATTTTCATATCTGTGCCAACAGACTGAGCATGAGATCAAGTCAGACTTCCTGAAACAGCCAAACATTCCCAAACAGTGTCTCTCTCTCCGGGCTGAAACCAGAGCGCCCCCTGTTACTCTGTTAAATGGGAAAAGGATCCAGACTAATGGTGGCCTAAAACCATCTGTCATGATCATGTCTCACAGGGTCAGTTGCTCCTCATCTGTCATTTTTGTCTCCTAATTTGTGTCTCTTTAAACCCTGATAAAGGCCAACTCTTGTCAAAGGTGTACACCTGGTGTATTACAGTACATCAGTATCAATCTTGTGTCGGGGGCTGATTTGGACGGCAGCCCCTCTCAGCTGTGGGCCCTTTTCCTTTTCACCCTGCCTGACAACAATAAGTGCAGTCAGGGAGAGGTCATAAAAACACAGTGAAAGCATCTCCACTCCTCCTCTCCCGCCTCTGCCCATTCTCTGCTCACAAAAAAAAAGACAGGCAGTAACTGTCTGTGTGTCACCACGGCTGTTTGTGGGAATCTAGAAAAAAAGGTTCCCTGCAACACCTTATAAAAGTTTGGTAACTGCCCCTCTCAGAGGCCACTTGTACCAGAAGTAGGACAGGACCAAGAAACATGACAGAGAAAAAAAAAAAAAGAATCTCTCCGACTTCACTGCATCATCAACTTAATTGTTTTCTCTCCTGCAGTGAAGAAACAGGGAAAATGAAAAGTTTAATTTATGCAATTTAATTTTTTTTTTTTAATTTTCAAAAAATGCAAACGTAGATATAATAATGGTTTTGATTGATTACAATGTTTTATGTAAAAATACAAAATATTCTTAGTAAAAAAGTATATTATTGTCCTTATTTGTATTGCTCTTATTTTTGAAGTAACCTTGATTAAGTCTAAAAGTAATATTTTATATATATTTCAGTTATTGTTTTTAAATTATTTTTAAAAAATGTTTGTGTTTCATTTCATGATTTTCTGCTGATATGACAGCTAAGCGTAAAACAAAATATTAATACACTGAAAAAAAAAATATATATTGCAATACATCATATCGTGATACGTATCGTATCGCCAGATTCCTGCCAATACACAGCCCCAATGACAACCTGCTTTTATACTTAAGTCAATGTCAACTTTCACATTTTGTATCTGTACCATAGTCACTTGTGGATCAAAGTCGGTGGACAGATACACACAGTGTATCTGTGTGGACATTTTTATCACCGTCACAAGCGACACATTTCCCACCCTGCTGCATGTTTCCTAGAATCCTCCAACACTGAACTAACTGGGAGTGTATGCTGAATGCGAGCAAATGAAGAAGTCTGATAATAGAAGTGCATTATGGTAGAATGCAGTTGCACACGCTCCAGCCCGAGTCAAGCAAACATTCCTGGCATACTGTGTCTGGTGTGGAGATGTGAAACTGCAAAGTTAAAGTAGGTTATGAATGCTGGCTCAGGGCCAGGTTTCACTGGCATTTCTTAGACTTATCAACAGCTTTGTGACAACGACCGTTTCCGAGAAAAAAAAAAAAAAAAGTCAACAACAGTATAAACTTAACAAGGATATTGATGGAAGATGGAGACAAAAACAACACAAGTTACGGCCAAAGTCTTACGTCACATACTGTAACTTTATGAGCGCAGGAGAAATCAGATTTTTTTGATCAATGGCCTACATGGAATGAGCTATAAATAACAACAATACAAAGGAAATGTAGTTTTAACCTAAGGTTGAGTTGTTAAAAACCAGGAGTGAGAGAGAGAGAGCAGAGACAGGAGTGAAGGAAGGTAAGTTAGGAGGAAACTAACGAAGGAAGCAGAAGAAAAACCCCCTCAGTTTGTGGTAATAAAAGAGTACCGCTGCTCTCTGGGAGATTAAATATGAACGGAACAAAACAAAACGAGGGCTTTGAGACCCTCAGAGTCCTAGCCATTCTTCTGGTCACAGTAGCCTAGCAACCACTGCTTGACCAGTCCATTGTGCAAACGTATGTTAAGCTTTTATCCCTCATTAGCAACATTCCTCCCTGCAGGCTGGGATTTTACAGATTAGGTTGAAAAAACACAAAAGAGAAAGAACAAATCTAGCTGACTTCCAACATATTACTTTAGAGGCTAATCATTGATCAAATAGCTGTATGTTTGTTAGCGTGGAGCATGTGTACACTGGGAGTTGATAAATCCATGTGGAGTTCAGTAAAGGGGGTGTTGAGGTATTTTTTTCTGCCTCCTTGTATAAATATGTTTTGGTTTAATCTGAGCTGAGTTGGCTTCACTCATAAAATATGAAATTAAGTCAACATCAGCTGTTTAACTACCAGTTATTGACATAATGAATATTGCCTTTTTACGAGCTGTGAGCACAATTCTCACGCCCTCTGTACAAACTGAACTCTGGACACCTGACCAGATGAACAGACGACCCAACCAAACTTTTCTGAGGTGCATTGTTCCAGTTTTTATGGGAAACGACCCAAACACACCACAGGGTGCGATTTAACTGAAGTCCAGTCTGTGTGAACACTTTTCACACAGACTGGACTTCTGCTATTTTTCACTCTGCCTTTAGATTACACTGAATATACTGACTGGATGTAAAAAGATTTTAATGGTGGAGGTTTGATCAGAAAACTTTGCTCTGATACTCCAAGAAAAAGGAAAAACTTCCTTTTCAAACTTTACAATAATATATAATATATATAATAATTAAAATGCACTGCAGGAGAGGAGTAGGTTTCACCCAGCTACAATGAAAAAAGATACAAAACCAGGGCTGTGTATTGGCAAGAATCTGTCGATACGATGCGTATCACGATACAGGAGCAGCAATACCATATATTGCAATATACTGCAATACTATAGGCACGACAATATATTGAGTTTTTTTACAACAACAGCAATAGGATACGTATCTTGATACAGGGAAATATTTGACTGGGAATTTGTGATAAAATATCAATACAGTGATAGAGGATATTGATACAGCATCGTGAAACAAAATATTGCAATATTTCAGGCTTTTGCTCTTGGACTTTGAACTTTTGGCTTTGGCTAAAGAAAAATAATTGTTTTAGTTGCATGAGCGATGCATCTTTTTTGCATTTTCTGAAGTGCAAACTGTCGCGATTAAGAAGATTGGTTCTCCTGCTTTCATTCAAACTCACTGAAGGAGTTTGTAAATAATCTTTCCTGGGTTTAATTTGAAGTGGCTGGCCCTTTATTTGAGACTTCTACACACACTCAGTCACAGTGAAGTGGCAGGACAAACACATCCACTTGTTTTAGCAGCACTGCGTTTGTTCGGGGGAGTCGGCTGCTGTGTGGTCACCAAACATCCGATTAGCCCAGTCCAAACAGCAGCTAAATCCTTTCTCTCCATCTGCCCGTTATTAATCCCAATCTGTATCTTAGATTTTACTCTGTGTCTCTGTCGGTGCTGCAGAGCCACAGACAGCGGTGAGTGAGAGCTGCTCCCCAGAAGCCTCCAGGATAATGAGACCAAGTCACCAAAGGAGAAAGAGCGTTTGGGCTCCTGTTACCTTTATAAAAGGGGGAGTCTGTGTTTAGTATGAGTCACAAATTTCCAAAAACTAATTGCAAGCCTTTAGTACTGATCTTCAGCTACACAATACCATGAGGTACACAAGACTTTAATAAAGTAAAGTTACTAATCATAAATGTATTAACAGATGACGCTGTGAATCTCTGATCTGCTTTAAAACAAACAAAACTATTGTGTTTAAACCAATATTCCCCAAATATAACATAAGCTGTGCACGGCCTGAAGGTGTGAACACAGTGTGTTTGTTTAACTGTTTGGTAAATCACTGACTATTTGCACAGTATGTCAGTTCAATAGTAGGCAGAGAAGGTGTGTGTGTGTGTTTGTGTGTGTGTAGGACGGAGGTGGAGGGGGTGGTGCAGAGGGAGGGGAAAGGGCAACCCAGCTGAGCAAACTCTGACTTTATTTCACACCCTCCTGATAGCATCCCCCCCCCCCGACCCCCCAACCATTTCATGAAGCCACAGTCCACAGTGTATGTCTTTTAAAAATCCACACAGAGACACCTGACTGACTGACTGACTGACTGACTGACAGACTGACTGACGGTAGGCAGTGGTTGAGACTGTAGGTAATTACTGAGACATTTTTGTATGATCTATTTGTCAACAGAAATGATGAGGATGTTTGATGAGTAAGAGCAGAGCAAGCAAAGTTAGAATGAAAATCATTAACGTGACGTTCAAACACTTTCATTGCCATAAAACACAACTATTATTCTCATATTTGTCTGAAATTATTAGTTGAGTAATGACTGCAATTACTAGTACTTCCTGCACCCAAATAGTTTGAAAACCACACTGTCTTATGGACGATTACTGTGATTACTTTGTACATTTTCTACTTTAAACAATTTTAAATGAATGACTGCTTAAATATAATTTATGACTTTTAACTCATTACACACACACACACGGTTTTTCTTACTATTGCTGGACTTGAGGTCCCGGTGGATGATGGGTACCACAGCCTCCTCGTGCAGGTACTGCATCCCTCGTGCGATCTGAACGGCCCAGTTGACCAGGATGTGTGGAGGAATTCGTCTGCCGGTCAACGCACGGTTGAGCGTTCCGCCTCGGGCATACTCCATAACCAGGCACAGGTTGGGCTCCTCCAGACACACTCCCTCCAGTTTGATGATGTTGGGGTGCTGCAGCATGGAGAACAGTTTAGCCTCCTGTTTCACGCTGCCGGCGGTGGCTGTTATGTCCTCGTCCGGGTCCTGCCGGGCAGCCTTCACTGCCACCTCCTGATCTTTCCACGTGCCCCGGTAAACTTTGCCGAACCCCCCAACGCCAATGATCTCCTCCAGGACCAGTTCACTGAACGGTATCTGCACCGGAGAACCCGGGACTCGCTCCGGTGTGCCCGCAGACCCACGACTCGCGGGGAGCCTGTAAATAGCGGGCTGATAGGTGACATAGTTAGATGGGAAAATACCGACCCGGTGGTTGATTTTACCCGTCCACCAGCCCTCGTCCCCGGAAATGGCTGCGTCCTTAGAGAGAACTTCCACCACGTCTCCACGCCGGAGGCTGAGCTCGTCCTCGCCGCTCGCCTCGTAGTCGTACGCAGCTGTCCACAGGGAGCGGGTCGGGCAAAGAGGGGCCGAATGAGCCCAGGAACGTACGGTAGGTGTATCTGTCCACGCATGTTCCCCGCATCCATTCCCGGTACCGAGACCGCAACTGCCGCCGCCCGGCCGCCCTTCACCGTTTGGGGAAGCGGCCTGCGAGACATCCATTTCTCGGTGGCCGTAGCGGCACCATAGGGTGTGGAGCTTTTTAGGGACAAAACTGAAACTTTAAAAAAGTTACGAGGTCTCTTGTTGAAATCCACATGTCGTCATTGCTTTTCAGTGGTAGCAGAGATGGGGTTCCAGAGCAGCCCAACGACGAGTGTCCCACCGTGTCCAAAGTCCTGAGGGAGTGAGAGCGTCCTCAGCCCTGGAACACGTCGTCACCGCCGTCAAAGTACAGGGCTCGGTGACGAGCTTAGTGTGGGTAAAGTGAACTGGAATCCTCACAACTTCACAACAATAGTCATTAATAATAAGAAAAAAAGTTTTTTTCTTAAAGTATGTTTTCGGGAGAGTCTACTTCAGCTTAAAAACGGGATGTTTTCACAGGTGCCGCTGGAGGTGCACCTGCACCATTCCTAAAAAAAAGAAAGAAAAGTCCCGACAAGTGTGGAACATGTTCTTATGTTCTCCATAAACTACTTCTTAAAAAACGACGACTTAAAAACGAGTAAGTATGACAATAGGGTCCATAAACACGAGAGTTAGTAATAGTTAGTTTTACTTAAAGTCTTGGCTAACCAGGTTAGCTTAGCATAGCGCTGTTGGAGAAGTTACTCGCTTTTCCCAAGTTTTTCTCTCCGTCGCTGAAGCGCCGAGAAACAGACGATTAGAGCGATGTGAAAGAGAATCGAATATCCTTAAAAACGACGTGAACAACATGAAAAAATACAAACGGGACGATGAGGAAAAAGAAATCCGTCAAACTCAATCAAAACAACCCCGTTAAATCACCACTGTGCGGAGCTGGAAGCAGGCAGCAGGATCAGCGGCTGCTCTTCTGGGACTCCCCCTACACCCCCACCCCGCTCTCAACGCTCCTGGCTGTGGAGCTTGGTGATTGGCGAAATCTACGACACGTGACCGTCGCGTCAGACGCGCGGGGAGGGGACGGGTTGGAGCCTTTGCCGGGGGAGGAGCCAGTGGAGGAATGTGAGAGGGAGAGCGCGCTTCCTCGCGGAGGAGAGTGGGAAACCGTGGAAATCGTGGTCCATGAAAACAAATAGACACACCTGACATTCTGTTTTAACCCAGAACTTTAAATGATGTTTTAAAATATATAAATAAAAAAAATATTTGTTTATTATAAGCCAATAATAAACAGTCCACCCCGAGGTTTAGTTAGGCTAAATCAATGGTACTCAAACTGTGGTATGCATAGAACTGTTGATAAACAAAAAGATGCTTAGACAAATGTTATTTTATTTTATTTTTAATTTTTTGTCTTTTTAATGTTTAATTTGTGTTAATGAGTCACAATGTCAACATGTGTTTAGATGTACAGGAATATTTAAATATTTCTAACAATAGAGCGGCATCTGGGGGTCGGAGGGTGTAATTCCTCCCGACTACCACAGATAATGCTTAGGAAAATCTTACTGCTTAGGAAAATCTTATTTTAACATATAAAGTTCTACTTCCATCCATCCATCCATCATCTACCGCTTACATGAATATGAACGTCTGTAAATACACGATCCTCAATACTCGTTAAATGTTAAGGTGAAGCTCAACGTGACTCTGTGATTGGTTTTTGCTCTACGCAGATAAGCCCCATAGGTAGGGGGAGGAGTAGAACGGGAGGCGGTCAGAGCTGCGCATTTGCACAGGCAGCAGGGAGATCGAGGAGAGAGGGAGAGAGGGAGAGAGAAGGAGGACAAGATGAGGAGCGGAGCTTCAGATTCAGCAGTAGTTGGGATTAATAAAATCCACACCAGGATGGCAAGAGTCAGCGCGGAGGATAACCCCGAGGAGGAGACCGATGAAGCATGAAGGAGGAGGCTCCACAGACGTGCTGCATCACCCCAACATGGAGGCGTAGCACCCTGTAGAGGGGGAGACAGAAAGAAACAGAGAGAGGAGAGATCAGTTCGTTGTAGACGAGAGGCAGCAGCATCATCATCACCATCACCCGTCCGTCCAGCCTGAGTGGAGAGGAGGAGCAGGAGGAGGAGGAGGAGGAGGAGGAGGAGGAGGAGGACAGAGCTGGAGACATGGGCTCCCAGCTGGTGCAGACCCTGCGTCAGGGAGTCTGGGCATCTCTGACCGGGGGCTGGTACCACGAACCGGATCAGAACAAATTCAACAACTCCTGCCACCTCTATCTGTGGTTATTTCTCCTCATGTTGCCTCTGTCTCTACATCTGGTGAGTCTTTATTTAAAAAAAAAAAAAAAATCAGCCTCGGTGGTGGGGGGGCGGGTGATGAGGAGGTGGTCGGGGTGTGTCACTACAGGTCACATTTTTTGGTCTTTCTTGAAAAAAAAAAAACGACCGCAGTGTTTCCCCGACACGCTCCACATCCTGGTCTCTGTGGCAGCGGCAGAAGAACACGACAGTGTCGCAGTGTTTCTGGCTGCACGCAGTGATGGAACGCATGGCTGCCCTTGGATGGGTGGCGTGGATGGAGACAGCCACTGTTTTACTTGTGTTTTCACGTCACGGCCTCTGGAGTAGTGATGGCGCAACGACCAGCTGCCGTTCTCCCAGGGGGAGGAACCTCCTCCTGGGAGACCGTTCAGCCATTAACCTGTGAGAACGGGGACACGATCAATGACCAGAACAGGGGTCTCTGAAGGCCAGGGACCCCCACACTGATGAAGCAGCCGCCACCTCATATATATACTGTATACTGTAAATATATGTAATATTTATTATATATTGTTTTTATTCACAGTAAGCTGGACCTAGAGTGATGTATAAACCTACATTACTTTATTTTTTAGTATTCAGAACAGATGTATTCAGCAGTACACAGGTTCATATACTGTGTTTTTGTTTGTGACGGTACAGAGAGTCAGGTGACTGAGACACTGACGTTCATAAACATACCTGTCAACTGATACCACTGACCTTATCATCAGTGTCTGATCCAAATGCATTACCATCACACACATAATTATCTAATCAAAAAAAATTACTATCTGTCAACAATGTTACCATGAACCATTCACAGCCAACTGTATGAGTCTCTGTGTCTCTGTGTGTGAAGCTGCAGCCTCGGCCAGACAGCCTTGAAGCAGATGCTCCGTGTTCTCCTTCCTGTCTGTTTTATGAGCCATTTGTCTTCTGGGAGTCTATAAACCCGGAGAGTCCACTCAGTGGTCAAACGAGATCCTTGTGCTTCAGCCTTTCATTCACCAGCTGAACTGCATGACTGTGCATCTGGAAAACTTGTCTCTTTTTTAGAGTTTCACCCAAAAAAAATAAAGACTGAAGGTTAACGAAGCTCCTCTCCACTCTGCCACCTACAGGCCCTGCCACCGACCACCGTGGCTTTGAGCATCTACTGCAGCTCCATCACCGTCTTCTTCATCCTCATCAAGGTGGCCAACTATCGGCTACACCTGATGTTTGATGACGGCGAGGCTCTGGTCCGCAGCAGTCTCTCTGACCTCAGCAAGGCCCAGGAGAAGAAGAGTAACGCCTCGGAGTCCTGCCTGCCTGCCAACCTCAGGTAAACACTCCAGACCCCGGGGTTTTGCCCATGTTTGTCAGTTAGTTTGAGGACGAGAGAGAAAAAAACAAACGATGGAGCCGAGAGCTGAAAAGAGGAGAAGACAGAAGTGACAGTTTTTAAAAAATAAAATACCATACAGACTAACCTAAAAACTAAATAAAATAAACTTTCATTCTCTCGGGTCCCCGGGCCAGTAGTTGAGAACCACTGCTCTAGACAGTGGAACAGATCTGTGATCTGCTGCAAAGTTGATGTCAATTGTTTTTTCTGACAGGAAGAGCAGCACAGTCCCAGACAGTGTTGCTATGACGATGTTGGCTCGTAAACGTCCCAGCCCAGTGATCCAGGTGACAGTGAAACAGACAGAAACCAATCCGGGACTGATCGGCGTGGTGAGGGACACCTACTGTACACAAGAGGAAACTGCATGTTGGCTCTGTGTGTCTCTAGAGAATCTGATTTTAATTATGTGTTTTTTTTTTTGTTCTCTTCACTCAGGAATGTTCAAAGTCTGACGAGGGGGAGACGTTGGAAGGTGATCTTGTTGCTGTCAAAAGAGAGTTCTTTTCTTTTTGGCCTTTAACCTTTGACCTTTGACCTGTCAGTGACACCGTCTGTGTGTGATGGAGCTGACAGTCCAGTTACTGCAGTTACACAGTAAAGTCAAACCAGGGCTAGTGTTGAACAACTTCCTCTCCTGTGAATGCATGCTGCATGTCTCCTCTGCAGCCATAAGGTGTCCCAGTGAGTCCACAGTGTCAATGACCTAATTACACAGAACAGCTCATCATAGAATTAGGCCATCATTTCTGGGCAGCAGTTCATTAGTGTGATTCTTAACAACAAACCGGTGACAGATTTAAAACAAAACAAAAAAACAAAAACAAAACATACGCTCCCTTTAATTTCTTCTCTGTGTTAAAACATACGCTCACTTTAATTTCTTCTCTAAGTCAAAACATACGCTCACTTTAATTTCTTCTGTAAGTTGATCCAAATGTCCAAATGTAACGTGGGATTCCTTATTTTTTTTATTTCCAGAGCAGGGGGAGTGTGATGCAGAGGAGAAACATGCTGAGGATGGACAGAACCAAAGCCCAGAACCATCTCCAGATGATCTGTCCAGCCCCAACCCTGACCAGGCCACACCGCTGCTGCAGGCTCAGCAGAGGCCTCCATCCAGGGCTGGGAGAGAGGAGGTGGGAACCACGGGGAAAATGGAGGAGGAGATAAGTGAGAATGGATCTACGAAGGAAAGGATGGAAGTCAAGGAGCCGTCAGAGCCAGAGTGTACTGCTGACAAAGTCTCCGAACTGGATAGAACGGAGGAGAAGAAGTGGGAGGACAACGAGACTGGAGACATGGAGACAGCTGATGAAGGTCTGCCTCCGTCCAAGGAGAGTGGAGAAGACAGTGAGGAGGAGGATGAGGAGGAGGAGAGTGATGGACAGAAGGAGCTGCCGGATGACAACAACAACTCACTGGAGACGTCCATGGAGAACCGGGAGAATTTCGTTGAAATCCCAGAACTTCCTCTACAGGTGGGTGGGGTTGAAGCTGACGTGAATGTCTGTCATTTCTGGAGGTGTTTTTAATCATCTGTGGCCTCTGCTCTGGTCAGGAGGAGCAGGAAGAAGAGAAGTACTGTTCTGATGAGATAGAAGTGGTTCTGATAGACAACTCTGGTCCAGGGTCGGCGTCCACTCACCTGGACGAGAGCGACACAGTCAAGATCATCATCACCATGAGCTGTGACCCTCAGACCGCCGCTCAGCTGGAGGAGAGCGTGAAGCAGAGCATTCTGGAGAACGCCCAGGTAAGACGTCTCGTTCCAAACAGGCTAACAGCTAACGGCTAACAGTTGATCCTGACTGTGTTTGTGAGACGTGACTTTGTGCCTCCTCCAAGGCTCAAAAGGAAGCAGGAGAATGTCACATTAAAATCCCTGTCATCACCTTTGACTCCCCCGAGGACGAGAAGCAGGAGGTGGAGGGGGGGGCGGACGAGGTGAAGACAGAGTCAGAGGACGACCAGACGCCCAAACATCAACAGGAAACCAGTCAGAGCGAAGAGTTTCATCTTTGTAAAGAAGCCTCCAGCCCTGACTCCCCCACCCTGGAGCAGCCCCCTCCAGGCCAGGAGCAGCTGGTTGTTCAGACGACCAATGACAGCTCACCCAGCCCTCAGCTGACCAATGACAACAGCTCCTCAGGTATCGACGTCCACTCCCACCCTGACGACACGGACCCTCTGGACATCAACGTAGATCCACAGGGCTTCCTACGTCTGCCCCCGGCTGTGGGCCGTTACGGACCCGGTGGACGGACTCACATCCGAGGTCTGAGCATGGACAGCGGGAAGGACGCGGTGCTGCTTTCTGACCGCTCACATAACACGGTATGTTAGCAGCTTCAGTCCGACCTGGTCAAATGTGTCGACGTAAACCAACAAACTCTGCTTCTCTCCAGACCATGACCAGTTCCAAGTCAGACCTGGAAGCAAAGGAGGGCCAGATTCCAAACGAATCCAACTTCCTGGAGTTTATTTCCTTGTTGGGGTCCCTCAGCACCAGAGGGTGTGGGGCCAGCACACAGGAAGTAGAAGGTGTGGAAGCCAACCAGGAAGCTGGAGCAGCAAAGGAAGGTACAAGAATCTTAAACTTAAAATATCATTTTAAACAGTCAGGAAATGTTGGCCGGAACGTCGGGATCAGGAACATGGATCAGTTCCGACTGATTCATAATCCTCTCTTTACACTGCACACGCTCAGAGGTTTTCTGCCTCCCATAGATCTTCCTCTCACCTCAGTCTTTTCAACTCAACATCTTTTTTCTGTAAAAGTCAGTTTCTTGGCTGCTGACCTTTGAGAAAAGCCACTCCTCTCTAAGATTTATTTGGACGGTGGTGAAGCTGGCAGGGGCTGAAACAGGACCTGCTCAGACTGAGTCTGTTTTATACAATTTTTTCATTGCGGTTTGTAACCATTTTTTTGGCTTTCTGCTCAGAACAACTGAAAGGTTTCATTAGACTATCATATCAGTCCAGTGTTATCATTATTATTCCAGTGCCGCTGGGGTCAGAATGACTAGACCAAGGTGTTGATTATAATAACACCATGTGCAACAATACTGAACAGATGAAGCAGAATTGATCTGATTAACAGAGAGAGTTCACTTCATTTGTCCACAGAGAGCGTGTGTGTGACGTCCAGACCTGAGGACACGACGAATCATCCTAAAACTGAAGACAGAGCAGAGAGACCCAAACCACCCACCAGTCTGCAGACTGACACCCTACAGACTGGACCTCTCACTAATATTCCCATAGTCTCTCCTGACGGCTACAGGTATATACACACACACACACGCACATGCAAACACACACACACACACACGGTCAGACTGACCCCTGTTTCTGCCTCCAGTCCACAGACGGACAGGGAGAAGGACCCAGACTACGACTCTCTGCCCTCACAGACCTCCCAGTCTGAGAGCTCCATGCTGCAGGTCATCTGCAGACCAGAGGCCACCAACAAAGAAGAAGCCTACACCTTCCACACCGTCCACAGTGAGTCAGCAGCTGCCACTGAACGACCAGTCAGTGTCTGAACCAGCAGCGTGTGTTTTCTAAGTACTATTATTGTGTTGCTGCTAAAAGTACCTCTAGAAATAACAAAAACAAAGAGACAAACATGAGAGATAATATTCAGGAACACTGAACTCTTTATCTTACCTCAATGTCAATGAATGTGTTCTGATGTTTTATCTTACCTCAATGTCAATGAATGTTTTCTGATGAAGCGTTCGTTTCTGCAGGAGACAGACCTCGGAAACTGTACGCCGAGAGAGCCTTGAACCTTCCTCTGGGGGCGGAGCTCATCACTGGGAACGTGGGGTAAAAACAAACAAAACAAAATTCAAACTAATTCACCATCTTTCATGTTTTGTTTTTAACTTAAAACCACATCTGCAGTTCTCCTCACACTGACCTCAGTTTGTCCACCTCCAGTGACCTGCTGTCCACTTCCTCCAACTCTGAGTGTCAGGACGGGCCGGTCGGGGGTCACACTGACTGTCCTTTCCAGCGACGCATCATCCCTGCTCACCGGCTGAGACCACGGAGGACACACCCCGAGATCTTCCAGGTCTGCTCTCCAAACGTATCATTAAAAAAAAAAAACTTTATTCAGACCAGGTTTTAACACAACTACAAACTGTTTATAAAAGTCTTCACCGACCAAAGACGTGATTGGACAGATGAGCAGTGTCTATAAAATGTCTATAACTAATTACTGTATTTTCCGGACTATAAATTGCACAAGCGCCCTCTAGTGGTTGTCAGTGTGAATGTAACGGACATGTACATTTTCCGAGGTACAGGAGTAGCAGATACTGGTTCTCATGCCTAGAGTGCCCTCTAGCGGCTGTCAGTGTTAAAATAACATATTTTATATTTTAATGTATAAGTCGCAAACTCAGCCAAAGGATGAAGTGCGACTTATAATCCGTAAAAAATACGGTAATTAAAATGAACGTGTTCGCGTCCCGGTCTCGGGTTTGACTCAGTGAAAGTCATTTTCCGTCGTGGTTCAGTTTCCGTCGTGGTGCGATTGTGTTCGGGTGTGTGAGCAGCAGTGGACTGAATGGATGAAAAACAGTCACGGTTTTGACTGAGGTTTGGTCCACATCAGTGTTGGCTGCAGCCCAGATGTACCAGGATCAACTGTTGGGACAACAAGACACAGATCTGCTGCTGAATTATTGATGCTGCCCTGTGTGTGTGTGTGTGTGTGTGGACCAGTGAAAAAGTGAGACAGAGAGAGACAGTGAGCGAGAGAATGTCGATGTGCTGACCCGACCCTTGTTGACGTTTTTTGTCGTGCGGTCGTCCGTCTGCAGGAAGAAGACTCGTTGGACGAATCGTCAGAAACGTCCACTCAGGAAAAACCCAGCAAGAAGATTTACTACAAACTGGAACTGTTCCCTGGGAAGTGGATCAACATTTTATATGACAGGCTGACTTTACTGGCCCTGCTGGACAGGTACGGTACTGCAGGAAAGTCTGGGATTTCCTCTGATGTCGGTGGTCTTACGTCATGTCTATGGTTAAATCCCAGGGTTATTATCACGTCAGTGCATTAACTCATTAACACTGACCAATCAGTTTATTGATATTGATAATAATTACAGACGGTTTGGCTCTTCACTCACCGCGGTCAACCGTCACCATCACCACGATTGTTCTATACAGGAATCGGGATGTTCTGGAGAACGCCGTGGCCGTCCTCATGGCCTTCCTGGTTTCTTTCCTGGGTTTTGTTCTTCTCAACCATGGCTGCTTCAAAGACTTCTGGGTTTTTCAGTTTTGTCTGGTCATCGCCAGCTGCCAATATTCTTTACTAAAGGTAAAAAAAAAAAAAAAGAAAATCTTTATTTAATCATTTCATTTTTGCATTTAGAATTTGAAATTCATTTGTCGTTGTTTGTCCTTCTCTGTGGTGAAGATGAAAAAATGAAGACAAAAATGTTTTCGTTTGTTTTCCAGAGTGTTCAACCAGATGCTGCTTCACCGACACATGTAAGGGTTGATCTTATTTACTCTCGAGTCACATTATTTTATAATTACAGTACTTGCTTTGTTTGGTGAAACGTTTTTATTCTTTTTGTTGACCTGTAGCTAGTTAGGCTACATTACTGGGCTCATTTCTGTTTTGGTGTTAATTATGATTCACTGATCTTTAGCTTTTTTTATTTTGTTGGCTGACTTTTAGCTTCTTTTTTTCTCTAAGCTAACTTTTATTTTACTTAATATTTCTGGAGTGGTATGAAGCTATCTGTCAACTATGTTTGGCCACTGATATCAAGAGCATCTCTGAGCAAATGTGTTGCTAACCTTTAGCTACTGGCCAAGATTTTATCTTCATCTAATAGTCCCTTCTTTTTTTGGCTGGCTCTTTAAAACAAAATATATATATATATATTAAAAAAATGGTCTTTTTCATCCCCTGCTGTGGTTGTGGTTTTCCCGTGTGTTTCCTCCAGGGTCATAACCAGCTGGTGGCCTACAGTCGAGCAGCGTACTTCTGTATCTTCTGTGGGCTGATCTGGCTGCTGGAGCAGCTGCTGAGGCGGACGGACCTGCCCGTGTCCTCGCTCTACGGCGTCACCATCGTCTGCCACGACGCACTGAGTTTCCTGCGAGACGTGTTAGTGGTTATGAGCGAAGACACCAGGACAGTGTGTTGACGCCGACATTTCATCTGCTCTGCTGTTTCACTGAACTGGTTTGATGTGAACAGGTCTCACCTACTGCTTCCCCATCATCTTCTTGGTGGGCCTCCTACCTCAGATCAACACCTTCACCATCTACCTGCTGGAGCAGATCGACATCCATTTTTTTGGAGGGACAGGTCGGTGCAATTCTGACCCTGTTCCAGGATTTCATTAATCCTAGATGGGGTTTTTTCTCATCCTGTATTTTTTGTGTTTTCTCCAGCTGCCACCAGTCTCATCTCCGCCGTCTACAGCATCGTCCGCAGCCTGGTGGCGCTGTCTCTGCTTTATGGCTTCTGCTTTGGAGCATTGAAGGTAAAAAGACAAAAAAGTCAAGGATGAGTTTATGGTTGATCTGCTCTCTGACCGCTGTGTGTGTGTGTGTGACACAGGAGCCCTGGGATGAGCAGCACACTCCAGCTCTGTTCTCTGGTTTCTGTGGTCTCCTGGTGGTCTTCTCCTACCACCTGAGTCGACAGAGCAGCGACCCGTCCGTCCTGCTGTGAGTGTGTGTTTCACATGCCTTTAACATGAATGAAAAATGACACACTTTTAGACTTCCCTTCCTTAATCCCAGATCTCTGATCAAGTCCAAGATGATGCCTCCGCTGGTGGAGGGTGAAGAAGAGGAGGAGGAAGGAGCAGACATTAAAGACCCGCTGCCTGAGCAGCTGCAGAACTCCATGGTAAATTGACATGGAATTTAACCAAACCACTCTTTAAGTGTGAACAGCGCCACCTGCAGGAACAAACAAACCTGCTGCAGCTTTTTATTGTGTTAAAATGAGTGACATTGAGCTGTCATGAAACTGAACCTAAACGAAGAACTGAATGAAAACGTTCTCCCCTCTGCTCCACAGAAGGAGATTCTTCTGTCAGACGTGGTCGTCTGCTCTGTGACCTACATCCTCACCTTCGCCATCACAGCCAGCACTGTGTTTCTGTCTCTGAAGGTCAGATCCTCCATCACTTCACACCAGTTTCCACACATCTCTTTTCTGCTGTTGTTGATTGCTTTTACTCACCTGGCATCTCTGTGCCTCCGTGGACGTTCCTGCCCGCAGCCCTTTGTGACCATTGTGCTGTACGCTCTGGCTGCTACGGTGGGGTTCGTCACCCACTACCTCATCCCTCAGCTGAGGAAACATCACCCCTGGTTGTGGATCTCACATCCTGTCCTTAAAACTAAAGAATATCATCAGTTTGAACCGAGAGGTCAGTCAACATTTTAATAACATTTATTTTTTAATTTGTCTGTCATTTAAAAACATCGCTGGTTTTAAATATGTCTGTTAAACATTGAGGATGTAGGGTCCCTATGTCTGGCCTGTGGGTGGTGCTAAGTGCACGTATGAAAGCCGCGTTCTACGATTGACATTTACTTCGTTCGTTTGTTTATATAACGCTATTTCTGTAGACGTCGTTAAAACCTCTACAACTAGAAGTGAATATAAATAACCATTGACTACTTACGGTTATTTATCTAAGTAGCCTTTGCTTGATGATATTGTTCTCTGGACATCGGTCAGTGACGGTGACTCATTTCCTGATGTTCTTGAATTCTGACCCGTGGACCAGAGGATGCTGTGCTGATGTGGTTCGAGCGTCTGTACGTTGGTCTGCTCTTCTTTGAGAAGTATCTGGTTTATCCTGCCATCGTTCTGAGCGCACTGACCAACGACGGCTTCGCCCTGAGTCACCGCAAAAGACTTGGAATCCAGTAAGTGGCCAGTAAGAGCACAGAGCATCATCATCCTCATCCTCATCTTCATCATCAGTGTGGTTTTCATCATCTCTGACTCTCTGCTCCGTCTCCAGCTGTGACGTCCTCCTGACCACAGTCGCTGGTCTGAAACTCCTGCGCTCGTCCTTCTGTGACCCCAGCACACACTTCCTCACTCTGCTCTTCACGCTCATCTTTTTCCACTTTGATTGTCCACATGCCTCTGAGAGTTTCCTGCTGGACTTCTTCATCATGTCCGTCCTGTTCCACAAGGTAATGAAGAAGATCCGCTCTGTCCAGTGACCTCTACGACCCCGGAGGTGTTTCTGTCTGTTCACCTCATCCTCTGTGTGTGTGTCTGTAGATGCGTGAGCTGCTTCTGAAGCTCCATTTTATCCTGGTTTACATCGCCCCCTGGCAGATCGCCTGGGGCAGTGCTTTCCATGCCTTTGCTCAGCCGTTTGCAGTGCCTCGTATCCTTTACTCCTCTCTCTGTGTGTGTATGTGTGACAGTGTATCTGCTGCTGCTGCTGTTGTTCAGTTCTTGACTGACTGGTGTGTGTTCAGACTCAGCCATGCTGCTGCTTCAGACTCTCCTCACCACCGTCTTTTACACGCCACTGGCTCCGTTCCTGGGCAGCGCCATCTTTATCTCCTCTTATCCGAGACCCATCAAGTTCTGGGAGAGAAACTACAAGTAAGAACGAGAGCAGGTCTCAGTTTCTTCTCTATTTTTTCCTGCAGGATTTGGAAACGTTACGAGAGCAGGTCTCAGTTTCTTCTCTAGTTTTTCCTGCAGGATTTGGAAACATTGGTCTAAAGAACCTTCTTTTTTAAAAACATTTACATTAAAATATTGACAATATGTGTTCCTGTCCCTGCAGCACAAAGAGAATCGACAACTCTAACAGCAGGCTGGTGTCTCAGGTGGACAAAGAGACCGGTAAGTCCCAGATCCTGGAAGTAGCGGAATGGCCACTGCACTTTCTAGCCCCCTACAGGACAAATAAAGAATGAAGACTAATATTTTAGCACACCAAGGACTCAAAACATCTCTTACATCTCTGTTCATTCTCATTTCTTCTGCTCCTCTCGCTCCCCCTGCAGGTTGTGATGACAACAACCTGAACTCCATATTTTACGAGTACCTGACCCGATCACTGCAGCACTCACTGTGTGGCGACCTCCTGCTGGGCCGATGGGGCAACTGCAGCGCCGGGGACTGTTTCATTCTGGCGTCCGACTACCTCAACGCCCTGGTCCACCTGATCGAGATCGGCAACGGTTTGGTGACCTTTCAGCTGAGGGGTCTGGAGTTCAGAGGTACACAGGGATTTTCTTCTCCTCCTTGTTGAGAAAAATATTTTTAAAAAAGTCCCATGATTCTCAGGCTCTCCATCTCCACCCAGGTACCTACTGTCAGCAGCGGGAGGTTGAAGCCATCACAGAAGGTGTGGAGGAGGACGACGCCTGCTGCTGCTGTGAACCTGGTCACCTGCCACACATGCTCTCATGCAACGCCGCCTTCAACCTGCGCTGGTTGGCCTGGGAGGTGACGGCCACCAAATACCTGCTGGAGGGTTACAGCATCAGTGAGAACAACGCTGCCACCATGCTGCAGGTCTATGACCTGCGCAAGCTGCTCATCACCTACTACCTGAAGGTACTGGTAAAACTGAGGGAAGAAGAATGAAAAGATACTTTAATAATCCTGAGAGTAAAATGTACTGGTTAATTATAATGAAGCTTCTAATTATAGAAACAAAAAAGATCAAGAAAGATCAGAAACTCCATCTTCTCAGGGGTTACAAATAACTTAAAGTATCTTTTAAAATTCAGTTTGTCATGTGAGAGCTGCAGTAGTCTTAGCCCCGCCCCCAAATGCTCTTATTCATTAAGGTGTGTCCAAATCTGCCCAGTCATCACTCACCCATCTCTTCCCCTGTCCGTCATCTATGCCCCCTCTTCCTCTCCCCCTTCAGAGCGTCATCTACTACCTGGTCCACTCTCCTAAACTCTCCACCTGGCTGAAAGACTCCAACATCCAGGAGGCGCTGCAGTCTTACACCAAGTGGCACCACATCGAACGTGACCCTCAGGTCTTCAGCGTGAAGATCGATGAAGACTACGTTCACTGTCTGCAGGGCGTGACCAGAGCCAGCTTCTGCAACATCTACCTGGAGTGGATTCGGTTCTGTGCTGGAAAAATGGAGACGGTAAGAAAATGGATCAAACAGTTAACTATTGATTTACAAATAGTTTATATTTACTTATGTATATATATATATATTTATAATTTCTTTGAGCCTTTAAGTTTATTCTTCAAATTCGAGGAATTCCTGAAACTGACATTTAAAAAGATAAAAAGCAGTGTTTGCAAAATAAACTGTTATTTATTTACTATTTTTTTCATTTGTTTCTGTAACACTTACAATACTTTTCCACTAGATGGCAGCAAATGACTAAAACTAAATATTGCAGTGGTTGGGAGACACTTTTTTTCAAGTGATGAAGCAGAAGGATGTTCTAAACTTTCTGCTCAGTCGCAGCTTCTGTTGAATTTATCCTTAAAACCATGAATAAAGACAGACAAGGTGAACTCACCTGGTTCCTCACACCTGGTTCTTCACCTGTTGGTCTTCTGTTTCCAGCCTGTGGACTGTGATGAAGATTCTCCTCTGGTCACTCTGTCCTACGCTCTGTCTGTTCTGGGGAGAAGATCTTTAGGAACAGCCTCACACAACATGTCCAACAGGTAAACAAGCACAAACGACACTGTTTTCAAACTAGTAGAAGGGCATCATGCCACTAGGGGGCATCGCACCTGCAGGCCTGCAGTGTTTCTTTAATTATTTTTAATTTTTTGAGAAAGCATTTTTTGATAAATAGATTTTCAGTATTGTAAATAATGAGTTGTGTAATGAGTAATGAATGAAAGTGTCGTCATCTGCTGTTTAAAATGTCAAATATAAATTGACTGATTTAATTTTCCTCGCAGTTAATTTTTTTTCCCTGGTGAAATAAATAGTATAAAGTCATAGCTGAGACTCTGGATTTTTATACCAAAAAGTTTGACTCATTCTCACTGTAGTAAGCTTAGTAACCAGAGGGGGGCAGCATCATCCACTCATTTCATCCTGCACACTGTGAAGAGATGGTGTTTGTTGATTAATCCTGTAACAGAGTGAGAAGTCTAACTCTTCCTCTTCTTCTTTCCTCTGGTTAAAGTCTGGAATCCTTCCTCTACGGCTTCAACACTCTCTTTAAGGGAGACTTCCGCATCGCCACCAAGGACGAGTGGGTCTTTGCAGACCTGGACCTTCTACAGAAGGTGGTGGCTCCTGCCGTCAGGATGAGCCTCAAACTGCATCAGGTAGAGTCCAGTCCAGAGTCCAGTCCTGGTCCTGGTCCTGGTCCTGGTCCTGGTCCTGGTCCTGCTGCAGCTCCGTCCACCTTCACCTTCTGCTTCTCCATCTTCTCAGGATCACTTCACCTGTCTGGAGGAGACGGAGGAGGCCTCCATCCTGTACGAGGCCATCACCAACTACCGCAGCAGCCTGGTCATCTGCCACGAGAGCGACCCGGCGTGGAGGAAGGCGGTTCTGTCCAGCCGCGACACGCTGCTCACGCTGAGACACATGATCGACGACGGCACGGACGAGTACAAGATCATCATGTTGTACAAACGACACCTGAGCTTCAAGGTCATCAAGGTAGGACCGTCGCCGGACACCGAGAACCGACTAGAGGTTCTGTTAACGTTGAACAGATGAACTTCACTTCACTGCTCGTCCACAGATCAACAAGGAATGTGTGCGAGGTCTGTGGGCGGGGCAGCAGCAGGAGCTGGTGTTTTTACGGAACAGGAACCCAGAACGTGGAAGCATCCAGAACTCCAAGCAGGCACTGAGGAACATGGTCAACTCATCATGTGACCAGCCGCTGGGCTATCCCATGTAAGAGTCCAACCTCTAGGGAGCCAATCAGAGGGCCACAATTACACTTGACTCCACCTACAGTCAGTTTAGATGCCCCCCCCCCTTCTCCCTCCCCCATATGTCAGTAGTCCGTCCCACTGGTACCTCCGTCTCCCTCCCTGTGTTCTGATGGTATGACTGTTGTTTCAGGTACGTGTCTCCACTGACCACGTCCTACGCCGGAACTCACCGCACGCTGCGCAACATCGGGGGAGGAGCTCTGAGTCTGGACGTCATCCGCTCCTGGCTCTGCTCCAAATGGTTACGGTCAGTTTCCCTGGGGAACTAGTTACTTTGTTAATGCTGTACCTTAACTAATAAAAACTAACTAGTAACAGTTACATTTAATCTCCTTATTCCTGGGTTTCTCTCCCAGATTAGATTAGATTAGATTAGACGGTTAATCCTGTTTCTGTGGTTAGAAAAGTGTGGTTTTAATTTGACTAAGGAGCTCAGGATCTGTGTGTGTGTCACAGGGTTCGTAAAGACAACCTGACGAGCTGTAACAGTGGCGTTAACATGGAGGACGTGGACTGTGGGGCCGGAGGATCGTCTTCTCTGAGTCAAAACCGTCCGTCATCTGTGACGTCCAACAGTCTGAGTCTGTACCAGCAGCACAGAGCCAGGACCACACACAGCCACAGACACCACAACTCAGGTACACAAACAGCCAGGTAGTATAGACACCACAACTCAGGTACACAAACAGACACCACAACATACTGTATATGTGGTAGTATTTGTAGTAATACTCATAGTAGTATTTGTAGTAGTACTTCCCTCACCTGTTATGTGTTTTTTTTGTTTTTTCGTCAACAATGGTGACCCACAGCCAGAAGAGAATATCGCAGCCGGTCCGTTCAGCCTCAGAGTCAACGTCCTCCTGTCAGCAGCCAATCAGGGCCCATCGTGGACCCAGGCTCCACCCACGGCCTGGTCCAACGCCTGTCCAACAGCCAGCTGTCCTTCAACACATCCATAGCTTCTATTTTCTCCTTCTTCAGGACGTTCTTTAGGATGTTCTTCAGGATGTTCTTTAGGACGTTCTTCAGGACGTTCTTTAGGACATTCTTTAGGACGTTCTTCAGGACGTTCTTCCGTCTCTTCTTCAGGTCCCTCGTCTGTCAGGAGCAGGTGGGATCAGCTCACAGCTGCAGACGGCACAGAACCCCCATCCGTCCAGTCAGGTACTCTGTTTCCTGTGTCTGTGAGTCGGCGCCACCTTTGACAACACAGACCTCTGGACTTCTGCACTTCTCTCCCTGAACTGCAGGTGTCCTCGTCCTCGTCCACGCTCAGCCTGCTGTTTGGGAAGCGCAGCTTCTCCAGCGGCCTGGTCATCTCTGGACTGTCCGCGGCCGAAGGAGGAAACACCACCGACACTCAGTCCTCGTCCAGCGTCAACATCGCCATCGGGCCGTCGCACAGGTCCAGCAGCAGAGCCACACAGGTGAGACACAGGCCACTGATGGTCCATGTACCTTAGTTTGAGAAACATTGGACAGAGGTGACTGGAAAAAAAATCACAACAATTATGCAGTACCTTTGAACATCCACCAGTTGTTTTGTTCCGTTGTCCGTTGACGTCCCGCTTTTCTGTCTCCGTCTTCATCAGTGGACGTCGGAACCCTACGAGAGCATCGACGTCTCCTCGTCCCACGTCACCGTAGCTGTGAAGGACGGCACTCCGTCAGTGGACGGAGGCTGCAGCCTGGGGTCGGAGAGGAACCAGGAGGACTCAGGTTCAGCTTCAGCCGCAGCTCCAGAGAAAACAGAACAGAAGACCGTCTGACACACACACACACAGACACACACCTGATCTACAGAGAGGACTGTATGAAACGTTACACACACAGACACACACACACACACTCCTGCCTCCTGTTCCTCAGCATGTGGCCTGAATGTAAACCATCTTCTCGGCTCCAGTTCCTCAGATTAAAACATGTTTTTGAACAAAGCTTCTGTTTCTTCTACATCTACACTTCACCACAGACTGTGGCCTAAGTAGGAGATAAAAACTTCCCATAAAGAAAGAAAGCCTTGTCCCAAATTGACAAAAAAAAAAAAAAAAAAAAAAAAAAAGCAAAGAAACCAGGGTTGATGATGAAGAAGTTAATTAGTAAAAAACGTTGTTGGATTTGCACCGTAACAGTAGAAAATCTTTGTCTGAATTATTAAATATTTCTGTGTCAGGTTCTGTCACTGAAACGGACTCAGACGACAGGAAACGTTCCCTCGTGTTCCAAACAGAACCTTCGAACAAAGTCAAAGAACGCAGTCGAACATGTGTCAAAAGTCTATCCATGATTTATTGTCAGTCTGTTACATTTAGTTTCTTCTTCTTCTCTAGCAGCATGATTTCACTGACACATTTTCACAGGCAGTTTCCAAAGGTCTGACTTTCTCAGTAGTCAAGGTGTAACGGTGTGAACACAGACAGAACCGTTGGTGCAGAGTGAACAGAACCAGATGAACAGCCCAGAAAAAAGAAAACACAGGTGGGAGTTCGGTGATGAGTGAAAGGTCACATGAAGGTCGTGAAGTGGAAACAAAACCAGAGACGACGACGACTCATTCAGACAGAAAGTTTTCTGATCTCCAGAATTTTTTTTTTCCTCTGACCTTTTACATTAAAACCAAATAAATAGACGTCTGTTGTTTTGGTAAACACTGCGACTTTGAACAAAAGTTGAAAATCTATTTATACCTCAGACAGTCAGTCAGAACCACACTGTCACTTTGACCTTGACGACCTTCAGGTTTTGTTTCATTTTCATCCCCATCAATGCATTCTGAAGTGAATTGCTAAACCTTGACGACCGATCGACCGACGTGAAACCAGACCATAATAATCTGTGGACCCGTGGCTCAGGGACTACAGGGAAAATGTGGTTCAACATGAATGTCGCTTCACCACAGACGGTCCGGTCTAGAACCCAATCTTTGACACACACTCTGCGACTGACCCGCCCTGCCCTGACCAACTGACCGTCCACAGACCTGCGTCCGTCTGCTCAGTGACCAGACGCTCCACACCATAACCAGGTCAAAACAAACTAGAAGAAAAATCTGAACCTCTGAAAAGTGCAGAAAAACTGCAGTACTCGACCACATACTCATACAGTATTGTTTATAACTGATACGTGAATTACTTCATTGATTTAGCAAAAAAGCATGCTGGGTAGAAAAGGTCGTCACTTCTTCTAAAGTGACGTCTTCACCTGCAGTTCCTCTCTCCACCACTATGCTCTATCTACACAGCTGGGACAACGGCCCAGAGTCATAGGCATCGAAATCAATAAAGAGGAAAGTGATCGCCTAGAACTGTCAGAAACCACGAACGAGAGGCCCCTGAGGGAGGCAGGAGGGAGGGGAGGGTGAGGGGAGGGTGAGGGGAGGGTGAGAGGAACTAAGGGAAAAGGAGAGTGAGATTTTTGCTGTGGTACTGTTTACAGTGTGGTACTGTTTACATCTCAGTTTCATGAACCTCAGACAAACATCGGTGAGTTTTAAACGACAGACTGAACACAGTGATGATGCAGCTGTTAGTTTTCCAGAATGAAGCTGTAGAGGGCGACGTTGACAGGTTTGGAAAATATTGCATTTATTTAAAAAAAAATGTTTTTTTTTAATTTGGAAATAACCTGATTGAGAATGTAACTGAAGTTTGAAAATGGGATGAAATAATTAATAATTAATGAATATTTATCTCTTTGTTATAATTCCTGAACTCTTCTGCAGCTTCACTCCGTGAACCGAACGCTGCGACCGTTCAATGCTACGACTTGAACTTCATGACCTTATCGTTCAGTCATGTTAAAACTGCTGCCTGTCTTCAACAGCAGAGGTCACTAGAGGTCCATACATGAGCAAATGAGTGAAAAGAAAGCAGCGACATTAATACTATGATCACAAACTGTCGTTACTTCAACCCGTACTTCACAGTCGGTCAGTACTGCAGAGGATTAGTTTTCAAACAGTCGTTTACATCAGCGCTTCTCAAATGATCACATCTCAGGACCCGGGACCACGTGTTTTACCACGCCTTGTTTACCGGCAAACATTTTATGACGGTTTGACCAAATTTTGCTCAAAATATTTTGGTCCTCTAGGGGTCCACGCTGAGGCTAAAAAAAAGTCACAAAGTTAAGCAAATTGATTTTTTGCTGTTAGCAAGCAAGTCAATTTTTCTGGCCAGACAAATTCTAGTTCTACAAGTTCTATAAAAAAGAAAAAAGTTTTTTCTCTGCTGCTGTCCTGCTTACAGATGGTCGATGCCTCTGTGCCTGCGCAGGAACAACGTGCTACTTAGTCCTAACGGGGCAAAACTTAAACAAAAGGATGAACACAAAAAAATCCTAACGTGTTTTGCAGAATCTTCTCATCTCCAACGTGTCGCACTACAAACAATATTTCTTTATGTATTTACAGTGTGTTGCATCAACGTGAAATATATCATAAATATAAAGAAGAGGAGACGCTGAGACGCGAGAACTGTTTCACTGCTGCATCCCCACGACGCACCGTTTGGTCCTGAGCCATCATTTGAGAAACCTTTCGATCACATGACCTGACCAAGACTCCAGCACAAAGTCACATTAATATCAGACGACAAAACATTTATTTGTTTTCAGCAAAGGGTTTTTTTTTTTCCATCATTACGAAGGCATATACTATTTCCTCTGTATATTAACTGGTATATATTTATATATATATATAATGTATTTATATATATATGTGTATCATATTTATATATAGAAAGAAAAATAAGCGTACATTTTTGCTGAGTAAGATTGAAGGTCAGAAGAGGGCGATGTAAACCACGGTCCATCTGAAACAGGTGAAAGGTGCGACAGCTGGCCCCTCCCCAGCCCCGCCCACAGTAACAGATTTGCATAGGCAAAAATGGGATTAGCCCTTTATAGACAGTGGATCAGTGTCTCTAAAGAAGAAATAAATCCTGAATTCATATATAAAAAAAACAAAAAAACAAAAACAAATAAAAAACAGAGACACAAGAAAATCACAACCTCAGCTAGGCCACGCCCCCTCCCGCCCCTCTGGTTATATATATACATAGTCACTTTTCTGTGCACATTTTGTTTACAGTGTTAGGCTTCAAGTAGATGTCACGACAACTGAACACTGGGTGTGAAATAAATGAGCCAACGATGAGAGGTAGTGAAGAGAGAAAAACAAATCTAAGTGTGAGTAAAGCCGAGGTTCACGGACCTCCTCCAGCTCGTCAGGACACGTCAGCTCTCGCTCGTTACAACAAAACCGACCGCCGACAACGTGAGAAGATAATATTCACAATAAATATGTTTTAAATAGAAATATCCAAACTCTGCCGTGTTGTTCTAACATCGAGGACCTCTACAGGCCAAAGTGAACATTCAGCCGTTAGCAATACTAAGGTCGGGCGCGCTAACAAGTTATCATCACCATCATTAGTTTGGGTGGAACTTATTTTTTGGAGGTTCATCTGGACTAAAGTCTCACACCGCAAAACCTTCCGTGTCTAAATGATCAATATATAAATATATATTGACTGTACATTTGTCTACTGTATTTTTGTGATGGACCAATCACGTCGCAAAGTCCAATTCTTTATATGTATAAATGGAGTTGGGAATAAAAAGTGACTCTGATTTGTTCATATGACCCCCCCCATTACTGATCACTCCCCCACCTAACAGCTTAACAACAACAAATCCTAACGCTGACGTCACATGACATGTCAGGCCAACTCCGATGTTGACGTGATAATAAAGTGTTAACGTTCCCAGCCTTAGTCAAAAGACACCGCCATGTTCTTTCCCCGCGTCACAATAAAGAAGGAGGAAGTGAGACAGGAACTGGTTCCTGTCTCATCACCCCCCCCCCACGCTCTCCTCCCCCCAACTGTAAAGGTCCGTTTGTAAAGAGGCCTCAACAACAAGGACACCATCGGAAGCTGGGGACCAATGTTTGTTTTGCTGCCCTCTGCAGGAGCTGGGTTTGTTAGCAGCTGCAAAATGGACAACGATAAAATGAAAAAAAAAAAAATTGCTTTGTATGGAGTTTGGAGACAGAACAGAACCGGTTGGTTCCAGATTCGACAGCTCTCTTCCGTGTGAATCCCCACCAACCAACGACGGCGTCAAACTCTTCTGCCCACGTCACACACACATATATATGTATATATATGTATATATAAATGTAAACTTGGTTTAATGCACCACAAGTAACAAAGGTCTGGGCGAAGAGGAGGAGGAGCTTCATCTGTGTCCAGAACCTAAAGTCTTCCTGATGCAGGCCAGTTTGTTTTTTTTTTTTGTTGTTTTTTTGTTTTGTTGAGTTTATCGTAACATACAATGTTTACATGCCAGGCCTGAGAACCAGACCCCAAAGTTATAAAAATGTTTTTTTTTTTAAATTATTATTAATATTTTAGGCTGAGTGATAATGGAACATTTATGATGGTAGGAAACGTCTGGAACTGTTCAACCGTCAGAGTGCTTTCCAAGAACAGACGAGCTACAGGTCGGACCGGAGACGACGACGGAGGACGAAACCGCGTTATGTCACAGCCCAGTTATTTCAGACCATCGTTTGTGTCATGCTTTTTTAAAAAACACTGGTCAAAGGTGTCGGAGAACTTGCTCTGGTTACTAAGGCTACATGCACGCTAGCTGAACTAGCTAAACCAGCGCGTCCACAGAGGTATCCTGCTGACACGCTAAGGCTGAGGACACACGGGGACAGTCTGTCCAGATGTTGACTGGAGTCCAGACCGACAGACCACAGGATTGGTCAAAGCCACTGAAGACATCAAACTCTGACCTCTGACCCTTTGCCACAGTTCCATCAGTCTCTCTTCCACCTCTGAGCTCCCGCTCTCCCTCTCTCTCTCTTCACCAACCTTGTTCTCTCCACTTCCTGTCTTCTTCTGACTCCACTTCCTGTCTACTACCCTCTCTTTTTTCATTGGCTGCTGCCAACAGTGGTTTACAGTTGGTTCAATCATGAGTTCACGCTGCCAACTTTTTTTGCAAGTCCAAGTCAAGTCCCAAAATCGGGGTCCGAGTCGGGTCTGAAGTTTTTCGAGTCCAAGTCAAGCTTGACGTCTCACGTCCGAGTCGCGAACTCGAGTCCCCATCTACGCTGACACACGTTTGGACCAACTGACCAGGGTGATGTCATCACCCAGAACAAGGAATCATGGGAAAAATGTGACAATAGAACCTGTGGTCTGTCCTCAGCCCAAACCCTGCTGGTGTCGTTTTGAAACTGCAGCCTGAGGTTTGCTGATCAAACACCTCTGCGTCCACTACAGCAGCTCTGGAGATTCAAATCCAAACTAAATAAGCAGCTCTTCTTTCCACGTTGTGTTTCCAGAGGTCAAACACCGACGACCAGCGCGTTCTCTGGGTGAAAACAAACGTGGCCTCCGGCCAACGGAGAATGTCGGATACAAAAACTGGTCCAAGCCTCTTCAACCATCTACCTCGGGACGAGCCCTCAAGCCCTTAAGGACAATAATGTAGACTGAAGGACGTGTGTATTGCCAAAGGTTAAGAATATTATAGTATTTGTTCGTACCATCACAAAACTGAAGGGGGATCAGTGGTTCGCCTCGCCTCCCTGACATGCAGAATAAAAAAATGTTCTGGTGTGAATCAAAAGGACTCAAAATCCCAGGACCCCCACGGACAGCGTCCTAAAAAACTACATTTGTCAAAGGACAACGTCAACTGCTAGTCTGAAGACTAGTGGTCCCTAAAGTCTTCACAGACCCCCACCAGTATTTGAAGGAGAGAATTCATATTTAGCAGAGAAAGACTGACATGCAGTAGTACTACAACTGGTACTTCAACCACTTCAAACCACTGAAGCTCATCAACAGGTTCTGATCTAGAACCATCTGAGAACAGACAAAGGAGCAGGTTTTGACCCAGGGTCAAAGGTCACCCTCCAGAATTCTACTTCTGATGGAAACACCACTGAAGAAGAGAGCAGACTGACACTCGGAGGATGTCTTTTTTTAAATTTAAAATACACTTTTTAATATATGTTTGTATTATATTTATTTATCAAGCGACTCCAAACCAGAATTAGAATCCTTGCGTACCACTAGAGGGAGACAAAGCACCACTTGTGGTTTATGTACCGCAGGTTGAGAACCACTGCCTTAACGTCCAGTCCCAGGCTGTCGTTTTACAAAAACGTTGACGTAGAAAACCAACGTTGTGAGACAGCGACGTTCACCGTCATCGTTTTATCAACATGCAAGACACTGACATCACCGACGCTCCGGTCTGTGATGCCCATCGTTTGGCACATTTGTCACATTTCCTGATACAGCGCAGCCCTAGTGCAACCCTAAAACAGACCTTCTCTCAGTCCGGGCAAGACGTTAAACTGTTTCCTGCATCACTTCCTGTTAAAACTGAGCCGGAATCAAACTTGGCACCTGGACGTCAGGTACAGTACCTGTGAGGAACTGACAAAACCAGACCAACACCTCACCAGACCGGTCAAGTCTGGTCAACAACAGAGATAAATACTGCACTCATGCACTTTCTACTGCCCCCTACAGGCCAAGAACAAAGAAAGTCCAAATGTTCACATTGTTAAAAAAGTTACTTTGTAACCTAATGGGGGAGTGCGGGGGGAGGGAATGGGGGTATTTGGCAAAACCTCCCTGTGTGAGTTTCGTTTTTTATTTTTCAAAACAATTAACATGCTAAAACCTGGTCAGGCTAATTAAAAAGGCTAACGTGTTAGCATAATAATACACTGATCTGTTTCATGAGCTCCTCCATCGCACACTCTGGACAATCAGAGACCGACGCCTCGGGGACTGAGACCCTCTGGTCTGACGTCTTTGACTTTGTGTTTGGCAACGCCCCCAGAGTCTGTCCAGAACCAGGGTGACTGCTGACCCCCCCCCCCTTCCCTTTCCTCCCCCGAGTCGACACCAGATTTCCACAAACCTCAACAGAGATCATCCGTCGGTGTTTGCTCTAGTTTCTTGGAGATGTTTCACACCTCCTGATCTCAGAGGGTTCCCCGTAGATGAGCTACAGATGAGAGGAATGATGGCACAGCAGTAGAGGATGATGAGGTTTTCTTCTTCTTCTTTAAATTCTAGAGAACTATCGCCAGAGTTCCTCCACTCAGAGTGTGGACAAACAGCAGATGGGAAAAAAAAAGTCCAATCAAAAACCTGAAGCTGCAACTGAAGATGAAACGACCAGGAGATGGCAGTAGTGTCTTCCACCTCATGCTGGTCCAGATTCCTACCTTTAAAGACTCTGGAAACCTGGCTGGGTTTCCTGGAACCTCCTCTGGAGTCACACCTGTGCTGTCAGGTTGTGACGGTCGGATGTGGACGGAGGAGAACAGAGAGGAAAACTCCAGCAGTTCTTGTGAATTCTCAAAGGCATGATTGATGATTGTTGTGTATGCTAAAGGTCATGACCTCAGATGAGTGTGAATGTAGCTGCCCGACCACAAGTCTAGCCCTTACTTCTCCCAGGTGAAGAACTGTAAAAGGTGGAGAAAGTCCTCAGCAGAATGGACAGAAGGGTGGATGGATGGACAGATGGGTGGGTGGGTGGTTGGATGGGTGGGTGGGTGGATGGGTGGGGCAGATCTTCTCCATTCAGAGAATGCAGCAGACGTTTAAAGAGCGGAGTCGAACCCCTTCCCCTCACTGAACACTGACGGCTGGACGGACACGTGTCCTGTCCTGAAAACATCGAAAAGTCCAAAAAACGGTTGCAGTCCACGGCATACATGGTCGAGCTACTGATGAGAGAGAGAGAACCAGTGCCTCTACTGGTCTACGTGAGTAGGACCTCCTCATCTAATTGTCAGAGAGAACCGATCTAACGAACGGGAACGGATTAGAAATATCAAAACTAAAAACTATGAATGAGAGACGGAGGAAGTTGAAGTAGAAAGGTTACAGTACAGGGACAGCTGGCTTGTCCTTTCTGTCTCTCCCTCTTCATCTCCATCTCCGCTGCCTGAGGAGTCCATGTCCACAGGTCTCCAACAACTCGCCAACAGGTTTGGCCTTTTTTCACCAAACGGCCTACAGGTGGCGTTGGCCAGTCGACCTCAAACAAATAGCACAAACTGTGAGGCAAAAACTACGGCTGGCCAGCGGCGATGGTCCTAATGAAGCGACCAAAAACCAGCCGGCGAAGGCCGGCCCGGCTCCAGTGGAGAACTGAGTAGAAATTGCTTAAAAAGTAGAAATGAAATCGACAGCTTCTCGTGATGTCGTTGAGTCTTTTCAACCAAGAAAAGAGGGTGAGTTTCTCCGAACCCAACGCCTGGCACCATAGTAGTATTTGAAGTGTTAGCAGTAGTCTGGTTGCTGTACAATGGCAAGGTCGGGGGTCTAGGTGTCGAGGCAGGTGCGCCTCCTGCTGGCCAGGAGGTCTCTGTAAACAGAGGAGTTGAGGAAACGGGGGTAGGAGTCGCGGTGCATCAGCGTGTAGATCTGGAGCTGGGCCTCCTCGTACATCAGGCTGCTGGGCTCAGCCAGGCTCTGGTTAATTCCTTCTCTGACCCGTGAGTCCAGACTCACCTGAGACGAGGCAGTCCGCCCTGGATTGTGAAGGCTGATTAGACGTTCATCCACACCAGGGTCTAACACTGAACACTGACATATCTGACCTGTGAAATTATACATCCTAGAATTTTTTAGGGCTTTTTTTTAGTGTGTTGGCAAGAATCTGGCGATACGATACCTATCACGATACAGGGAGCTGTGATACGATATACTGTGATACTATAGTCACAATGATATAGTACGACATCCTAGTCTGAGACTCTGTTCCATCTGAACATCAGTTCCTAACACTGGAACAGAGGGATCTACATTTGGAATCACTAGAGAAGAAAGAAAAGAAAAAG